CACAACTGGAAAAGGAATAAATGCGAGAATAAATTTTTTTCCACTGAATTCTTATACAAGCATTCCTAAAGTGCAGCAGGGGCTGGGCTGCAGCACGGTGATCAGAGCTGTGTTTTGTGATCAGGGCTGTGTTTCATTCAGGGTGATCAGAGCTGTGTTTCGTTCAGCAAGGTGATCAGGGCTGTGTTCATTCAGCAGGGTGATCAGAGCTGTGTTTCGGTGATCAGGGCTGTGTTCATTCAGCACATTCAGGGTGATCAGGGCTGTGTTTCGTTCAGCAAGGTGATCAGGGCTGTGTTCATTCAGCTCATTCACGGTGATCAGAGCTGTGTTCATTCAGCTCATTCAGGGTGATCAGGGCTGTGTTCATTCAGCAGAGTGATCAGAGCTGTGTTTTGTGATCAGAGCTGTGTTCACTCAGCACGGTGATCAGAGCTGTGTTCATCCAGCACGGTGATCAGGGCTGTGTTTAGTTCAGCTCATTCAGGGTGATCAGGGCTGTGTTCATCCAGCACGGTGATCAGGGCTGTGTTCATCCAGCACGGTGATCAGAGCTGTGTTTAGTTCAGCACGGTGATCAGGGCTATGTTTAGTTCAGCTCATTCAGGGTGATCAGGGCTGTGTTCATTCAGCTCATTCAGGGTGATCAGGGCTGTGTTTCATTCAGCACGGTGATCAGGGCTGTGTTTAGATCAGCAGGGTGATCAGGGCTGTGTTTTGTGATCAGGGCTGTGTTCATTCAGCACGGTGATCAGGGCTGTGTTCACTCAGCACGGTGATCAGGGCTGTGTTCACTCAGCACGGTGATCAGGGCTGTGTTCACTCAGCACGGTGATCAGGGCTGTGTTCATTCAGCTCATTCAGGGTGATCAGGGCTGTGTTCATTCAGCTCACTCAGGGTGATCAGGGCTGTGTTTCTTTCCCTTCCCCAGGAAATCATCTCCTGCCACATGCGCCTGACGTGGCTGCCCGGGCAGCCCCTGAAGGTGAAACATTTCTGTGCTCCCGAGGGCCACGGGGCCGAGCAGGGATCGGGGGCAGAGTCAGGATCAGCTGCTGGGCCTGCAGCTGAGAAGGGAGCCAGCTTTTGAGTGAAATCCTCCTTTTGTGGAGATGGATCCTCAGCAAATCCTTGTGCTACAGACCTGGAGCTGGGATCGTCCTTCCATGCCAGTCAGTGCTTTCACTGATTGTTCTGTGCCAAAATCAATTCCTGTCACTTCTTCAACAGCGAGATTCAAGTTCTGCAGCTCTGCCTGAACCCTCTGCTACTCCACATATACACAGATGAACATACAGCAGTTGATTTGATGTCACTAATTAACTGTTACTTAAGAGTTTGTAAACAAAATTAATATATTTTGGATAAAAATCATGAGCAAAGCGTTAATCTGTCACTAAGAGAGATTTGCCTGCTAATTTTTTGCCATGTTTTGGGCTAGAATCCTGCTGATTTTTAACTCACATCTCCAATAAACCAAATGCCATCACTCATGGTCGAGGCTGGGTTTTCTTTCTGCTGCTGGTGGAGCCCAAATTTCCACTTTCTCTGTCACCTGGAATCAAACCAGACCTGCAGAGCCAGGGAGGCTCCTTGGGGGTGAATCCCCATGTTTGGGAACAGCTCCTGTGACATTCCTGCCACGTCCTGTGCCACCACAAAGCCATGGCTTTGTCCTGTGCCACCAAATTCCCCAGCTGGGTTCCCAGCACATCCATCCCTGTCCCACCTCTGCCACTGTCCCAAAGTCACCTTTCTCCCCATCAGCCACGTTTGTGGCAGGATAAATGAAATCCTTCCCAGGAACAGCACGTTCCTGAGGAACAGAGGCTCTGGGGTGGCTGTTCTGGCATAACTGGGGTGGTTTTCACAATCCTCGAGCTGTAATTGGGAACAACAATTCAAGGATTTCACACAACAGCTTTCCCTGGATGTTTTCAGGCTGGGTGATGTCAGCTTCACAAATCCCAGCATTTTACACAAACAAATCTGATTTCCTGACAGAAGCTTTTCCCCTCAGCACCCAATAAACTCGGGGAAGCAGCATTCCACACCCTCCTGGTGTTTTCTTTCCTGCTGGGAGAGAACATTTCTCATCATCAGAAGTGTGAAATCAGGGAGTCAAATTCCAAAATTCCTTAAAGAAGCTGGTGATTAAAATATTTTTTTTTTTTGGGAATTAAGTCAAGAAAGTAGGATGGATTTGGCACTTTGGGGTTGTGCTTTTGTCTCCTTACCTTGTTTTTCCCCTGCTCTGCAGGGCTGGAATAGAGCACCAGGCTGGAGGAGCTGGCTGCTCACAAACTCAGCTCCCCAGGAGCTTCTGGATAAGCAGCAAAGCTGTGGAATTCTAAGGCAAAATCTCCCCCAGCTGCTTTTAGGCCAAGGTTTCAGCCCAAAACCCCAAATCATACAGCAAAGTTCTTGGGGTTTGTTTCTCTCCTGGGTTTGTGGAGAACCAGCACAGCTGGCAGAACTCATCAGCCAGGAATTCACATCACAACTGGCCTAAACAAAATATAAACCCCATAAATAGAAATGTAAATCACACCAATAGAAATAAACCTCACAAACACAAATATAAACCCCAGAGACACAAACAACATCATACCCACCCTGTTTCCTGTCCTGTGTTGACACTGCTTTTATCAGACATCTCCAAATTTTGGGGAAAGCGCTACATTTGCTTGTTTTAGAAAACTTCCAAATGTCTGAGAACCTGCAGGGCTTTTCTGGGAATGAATTCCAGCTGAGCATTCCCAAAACCAAAGCCACGGATGTGCAGGAATCAGGGATTTGTCCCAAGGCAGCACCACACGGACACCCCACATCTTGCCTGGGGCCCATCAGCACCTCCAGGCCCTGGCAAATCCTTTCCCAAGGTTTCCATAAATCATTTTCCAGCCCTTGCAGAGGAGAAGCAGCCTGGCTGCTCCACTTGTTTCTGTCTGGGAAGCAGCAACGCCAGCGCTGTGCCAGGAATGTTGCTGGGTTGGAACTGGAACTTCACTCCCTGTTTACTGGAATCTGCAAAAACACTTTTCAGCTGAGCAGGGCAGGGAGGAGGAAAGAAAACTCAACGTGGACATTCTGGGAATAATTACAAACACAGAATGATGGGAATATCTTCTCACCTAACACCTTGGAGTCAGCAAAGTCAAGTGATTCCTGAGCTGAACATCGGCTGCAACTCAGCCTCTGGATTGTGAGGTTCTGGGAAAAGGGATCTTGGGTTTGGATTTCTGATACCTCTGGATTGTGAGGTTCTGGCAAAAGGGATCTTGGGTTTGGGTTTCTAATACCCTCTGGATTGCGAGGTTCTGGGAAAAGGGATCTTTGGTCTGGATTTCAATACCCTCTGGATTGTGAGGTTCTGGGAAAAGGGATCTTGGGTTTGGATTTCTAGTACCCTCTGCATTGCAAGATTCTGGGAAAAGGGATCTTGGGTTTGGATTTCTAATGCCCTCTGGATTGTGAGGTTCTGGGAAAAGGGATCTTGGGTTTGGGTTTCTAACCAAGAGCCAAAAGCCAAGCCCATATATGAATCCACATCTCCAAGCCCATCAAATCCACATCTCCAAGCCCATCAAATCCACATCTCCAAGCCCATCAAATCCACATCTCCAAGCCCATCAAATCCACATCTCCAAACCCATCAAATCCACATCTCCAAACCCATCAAATCCACATCTCCAAGCCACGCAGTAATTCCATCTTGTTCCCAGCTCTGGGAAGAGGCAGCTCCTCCCAACATCCTTGGCAACTCAGCTGTGTCCTCAAACATCAGTGAAAGTGGATTTGGTGACAAGCTCTGACTGATGGCTTTGCCCAGTGGTTTGAGACTCTGGAGGCTCCTGTGCCATTTCCAAAGGATTGGGAGGGGAAAATTCCATCTGTTCCCTGGAGGGAAGCTGGAGCACCCCGTGCCAAGTGATGTCCCACTCCCTGTACCTGTCCAGCAGCTCTCACCTCAGTTTAACGTTTCCAAATAAAGATGTATCGAGTAAAAAATAAAATTATTTTAATAGATCTTGATTAAGACAAACCATCAGCCGTGTTTTAACATCTATTTGTTCCAAGAGCATTTACACAGAGCAATCCCGTGGCGATCCCCTGGTGCTGCTGACACCAGCCCAGAGGAAAGGTTCCATGCTAAAATTCCAAGTCCAAATCCCACTTAAGGAGCCCACCTTACCCAGCCAGCCTGGGCTGCTCCATGGCTTGGAAAGGCTGGGACAGACTGTCAGTGGGCTCCAGAGGAACCCCATCAGCTCTTGGCTTTGCCCTTTTTGGCAGGAAGTCTCCCCGTTGCTTCCAGGTATTTGTTGATGATTTCCTCCTGGGTGCTGGCTGAACAGGGGTGGTATTTGGAGTATTCCATGGTGTATTCCCCTTTTCCCTGCAGAGTTGGGGAAAGAAAGAGAGGATGGGCCATGTGCAACCCTGCTGGGCACAGAGCTCCTGTCAGTGAAGGGATCCCAGGGATCCTCCACCATCCCACCCAAACTCCTCAGTGCAGGAGAATTGTTTGGCCAGGAATTCCACAGCTCTGCTCTGATCTCATCCCCTGCTGCAGCTGCCAGGGACAGGATGATCCAATGAGCCCAAATTTACAGAATCAAACACGTTTTAGGGAAAAAGGACCAGGAGGACTCACCTCTGTGCAAGACCTCAGCTCTGTGGCATATCCAAACATATCGTTCAGTGGCACCTAAAATCCAAACACATTTGCTCAAAATGAGGATTTTTCCATCACTTTTGGGCTATCAGCTAATTAATCCCAATTATGACATAAAGAGTCAGTGCTGCCTGTAAACAGCTCTGATTTAATGGTCTGCTGTTGTAAAGTATCTGTTATTTTAATTAATTTATATTTGCAGTGTGTTTTCAGCAGAAAAATCTGAGAGTTTGAGTGCACCAGGAAGTGGAATATCCTAAATTCAGTGATGACTCAACCAGCAAGGTTTGAGGTATCTGCAGACATTCCTCCAAGGACAATTTGGGAAGCAGAAGGGCCACAGGGCGTGGCTGTCCTGAGCCCCTCAGGAGAACACCCAGTGATCCTCTCCAATCATTTTTAAGAGGGAAATAAAAGAAGGAACATTGAAATTGATTCAGACTACAACTGTATCCTTATAAACTGAGGAAAACAATGGGATCCAAGATGGGAAAGGGGAGGAGCAGGGAGCACTGACCTCAGCATAGAGGGTGAAGTAGCCCTCGGAGCCGTCCTGGCCCGTGATGACGCCGTGGCGCCGGTTGATGCCGGCGATCACCGCCCCCTGGAACTCCACGGGAGCCACCACCTCCACGGCCATGACGGGCTCCAGGATGCGCACGGCAGCGTTCTCCATGGCTGCGGAGGGATGGGAACAGCGGTGCAACATCACTGAGGGGAGCCTGGGGCAAGGCACGCTGCTCCCGGGCACAGCAGCAGGTGGTTCAGGGTAATGTCAGGGGAAAACAACGAGTGACACATGGAATTCCAGCTCCTGGCCTTTCATTCCTGGAGCCACAATCACAGAATTATCAAGGCTGGAAAAGACCCCCAGGATCATCGAGACCAACCTTTGGCTGACAGCACTGTGATCCCTAAACCCCACAGTGAAATGCCACATCCACACATTGTCCAAGCACCTCCAGGGACTGTCACCCCAGCACTCCCAAGGCAGCCCCTCCCAGTGTCCAACCTCTCCTTCAGTGAAGGAATGTTCCCTAAAAAAGGCTCACTTTGGCCAAACATTCTCTTCCTACCCCGCAAGGATGAAACCAGTGGTGCTGCTATACTGAATTCTAGAAAACCAGGATTTCCTTTGCACAGCCACAGGAATTATTGTGCCTCTCTCAGGAATTGTATAAACTCTTGTGCATGTTCTGCTCCATAAAACTGGGGAAGCTTTGGGGGGATGAAGGGAGGGAGGGA